CCTCATTATGAATTGACAAAGAAAAATATTTACAGTTAACACTTTAGTCATCAAGCTTGCCATCCTGTGAGGCACTGATTGACATGCGCCATTTTTGCCCTTCTGGAGCTACCAGGATAACTTACGACAGTGTGTAGACACTGGATAAATGACAGGAGGGTTTCTCTACCCTGTTCCTATCCTGAAAGTCCTGTGTCCTTTCCTCATCCTCTTCTTGTGCCCCAGTGATCTAAATAGCTACAGTGATGCAAACGCTTCACAGGAATTTTGGCTCAAACCTCAGATGCCACAGCCTACAAAGCTTTTAGTATTTTTTTTTTTTTTTGGTTTTTTTTATCCTTAAAAAATATTTAACACGATTTTAGAGACAGCTCTATTAAACATAATTATAAAAGTTCATCCATAGGCTGGGCATGTGGTGCACTCTTCTAATCCCAGCACTCAGGAGGCTGAGTGAAGAGGACTGCTGTGAGTTCGAGGCCAGCCTGGGCCACATAGTTCAGGACCGGCCTGAAGTACTCAGGAAGACCCTGCCTCAAAACAGAGTTCATCCACAAACTCACCAACTCAAACAGGTGCAACACGAAATTGTTTTCATTCTTCAAGTACATTGCAGTTAAGAATAATACACTGGTTAAAAATAGTGAGCCCGTTACTATATATCAGATGGTGCCTTAAAAATTATCCCTTATAGAGGCCGGGAGATAACTCAGTAGAATAAGCGCTTGCCTGGCAAGCATAAGGGTCTGAGTTCAATCCCCAGTTCCACAAAAAAACAAAAAAACAAAAAAACAAAAAACTCTTATATACAAAGACGACAACAATATGCAATGTATTAACTGTCCTACTAATCAGTTTTGAAAAGATAAAAAGCAATTAGGAATATTCTGGCAAGTAACTGGCTCCAAGAATAATACAGTTTAGAATATATAAAAATAATTTCATTTAAAACTAAAGATGTGGGGCTGGGGAGATGGCTCAGTAGAATAAGCACTTGCCTGGCAAGTGCAAAGGCC